CGTGGTTGACAAGCTCGAGCAGACTCTTGCCGCACGCCTCGACGGTCTCGAGGTACGAGCCCTGCGTCGAGTTGAGCTTGGTCTCGGCCAGCAGTTCGGCGGCGGCGAGGATGCCGTGGAGCGGCGTGCGCAGCTCGTGTGAAATGTTGGAGATAAAGTTGCTCTTGGCTTTGTCGGCAAGCATGATGTCCTTCTTGAGGATGGCGCTGAGCACGATCATGCCGAGTGCTCGCAAGTACTGCAGGCCGCTCACTTGCAGCTCCTCGAGCGCAATGGATCGTTCCGAGCTCGTGATGTACGCGCACAGAAGTGCGAACGGCTGCTTGTTGAGCCCAAAGATCGGCACCAGCAGCAGGCCCGTCACGCCATGCGGCAGCAGCGATCGGAACGGCGGCGGCGCGTACGAGTAGAACTTTCCGGTGCGATGCACGCGCAAGAACTCGGCCATCTGCACATGGTGGCTGAGCGGTACGAACTCGCTGCGATCGGGAGAGGTGTCGGCCTCGCTCGCGCCAAGGACGTTCATCGGCGGCACGCGTTTAGCCCGGGCATGCTGTTCGCCCACGGGCGAGCTGAAGGGACTCCCGAATGCCTCGACGCCGGTGGTGCCGTCAAAGTGGCGTTCGCGGGCGCTCTTCTTGCCGGAAATCGTTCCGGATCGCCCGAGGCTGGTCCCGGCGTTGCCCGGCGAGCCTGCCACATCCGAGTTGGATCCGGACACGTCGCCACTGTTGGCGCCCGAAGCGGCCACGCCTGGGTCTTGCGAGGACAGCGGATTGGCGAAGTAGATTTTGCTGCTGGTTCCGGTGCCGAGGTCGCTGGGGAGGAAATCGTTGTCGTACGAGTCGATGAGCTCGAAATGCGAGAGGTCGAAGATGACGGCGCCCGATGCCTGAAGAGCCTCGCGCATGCTCTGCGCAGCCAGCTGGAAGACCTTGTGCGTGCCCACGGTGCCTTGCGGGGTAGCGAGCGCGTCCGACTCGCCTTCCTCGGAATCCATCTCGAGACACTCTTTGGTGAAGAGCTCGACGGAGCGCTGCATGCGGTCGCGCATGCTGAACTGGATCTTGTCTCGCAGCAGCTCCATTTCGCGCATGACCACGCGGGCAAACTCTTTGAGCGTGTGGCGCTGGCGCGGGCCGAATTGGGTGCGCGGCTTGTCATCGATCAGGCAGAGAGCGCCGATGTTGAGGCCATCCGAGGTGCGCAGTGGACTGCCGGCGTAGAAGCGGATGTCGGGCGAGCCCTTGACGAGCGGATTGCCCGAGAAGCGCCAGTCTTTGGCGGCGTCGAAGATGACGATGGGCTCATCGCCGTCCTGCAGGATGGCGTGAGAGCAGAAGGAGCAATTGCGCGAGCCGGCGAGGGTCTGGAGCGATGCGATCGTGACCTCGCCCCCGCCTCCCATCTGCGTCTGGACGATCTGCTCGTTCTCGCCAACCAAAGTGATGAGCACCAACTTGGAGTTGAACACGAGCTTGACCAGGTGAGCGATCCTCTCAAAATTCGGGTTCCCGGCGATCTTGGGCGGGCCATAGCGGGCGAGGGCGTGCAGTCGCGACTCCTCGTGAGGAGGTAGGATCGACGGAAGGTAGCCGTGGTCGCGGTAGAAGAGTTCGGCACGCCTGCCCGCGGCGAGGTATGACTGGATACGCTGGGAGGCTGTGCTGGTGATGCCGGGCCTCGGTCCGGTCGAGGCATTGGCGGCAAGCGACACATCCTTTTCGCTGACGTCGTGGAGCGCTGAGGCCGTGCCTACCATTTCTTCCGACTCCTTGGCGGTAAAGGCGGGAGAGCTGGTGACGGTGCTTCGAAGATCGATGCGCGTCTCGCCGCTCTGCTTGCCGTCGACAAAGTGGGCCACGTTGACAGTCGGGCCATTGTTGGTCGAGGCCGAGGCCGAGGCGCTCGACAGAGGGCCTCCAGCCGGGGAGAGACGCGACAGGGACTGAACTCCTTCACGCGGCCCGCCAGCGGCCGAGAAGGACGGCCGAGGCGAACTGCCGGGGAAGCTGGCGCTATGAGGCACCAAGGGACCCTTTTGGTTGCGACCACCGTCGACGCGTGTGCGTTCCGACTCGGCTCGCTCGGCCCTCTCCATGCTCGTGCGCCGCGCAGCGCGTCGCAGACCCGCCACCGTGACGTTCTCGAGAGCGACATCGTTAGTATACGACACCTTGGGCTCTGCGGCGGCCGCGGCCGCGGCCGAGGCTTGACGAGACATGACCTCGGCGAAGCTGGAAAGACCTTCCGGTGCCGACTGCCATACGAGCGGCTGCGCAGAGGGGCCGTGAGTAGCTTGGAGCGGCGTCGGCCCCGGGCGATTGGGCGCTTCTGCCCCGCCTTCAGTCTTGTTGTCCGCGGTCTCGTCAGGAGAGCGCGCCTCACTGGCGCGAGTGGCGCTGGGCGACGTGCTCGCGTAGCCCTGAGCGAGCTTGGACGGCGTTCGCGTGGACGGCGTTCGCGTCGACTCCGAGGACGGGGCCTCTGCCAAAGGAGTGGAGAGCGGCGAGAGCCCCTCCTTGAGAGCGCGCGGAGTGCCGGACTGCTGGACAGGCGTGGCAGCATCGAGCGGATCGGAAAGTGCCTTGGTCGGAGTTCTGACGACCGTCTTGGTCGGGTCATCCGTCAAGATCGGGGCGAACGGAGAATCTGTGGGCGAATCTCGGTGGAGCCTGGAATCTGACATCTGACGGACGCTTCTCGGTGGAGTGGACGGGGCCATCGATGCTGGAACTGCGTCGGCTCGATCTTGTTGTGACGGAAGATCGGAACGTGCGACACTGGCCAGCAAGACCTCGGGTGCGGTCTTGGAGCGATGAGGCGAATGAGCCTCGTCTCGGCCATCGGTGCTGTTTTCGGCATCGTTTTGAGCATGTGCACCGGTGCTGACGGCCATCGCCCGAGACGCTCGTGTTACAGCCGACATGCTAGCAGAAGGCTCCCTGAGAGCAGCGAGGACGTTGGCATCGATGGCCGCGTCGTTCGCCGCGGCGCCGAGAGCCTGCGCCGGACCTGCGGAGCTCGCGGCGTGAATCGGCTTGTCCTCGGAAGATGCGGCAGGGTTCTGAGCGGCTGGCAAAGAATACTCGAGACTTTGAGAGCGGCCGGGCGTCTTTGTGTCGGATAGCTGGCAGGGAGGGGCAGCGCTGCTGGCGCCCACGGGAAACGAGGCAGCCGAGCCAATCTCGCCAGGCTCTGTGCGGGCATCCAAGCTGCCGCGGGCGCTGAGTGGAAGGCTGTGAGGCTCGAAAGCCGGGGCCATGGCGAGCAAGTTGGAAGGGTCGGCCTGTTCCGAATCGTGCATGAGGTATTCGAGCGATGGCCTGCGGACGCCTGCCGGGGCTGTCGCGGGAGCTTCCTCGTCGAGAGGAGGATCGAGGGTGGTGCTGATGCGGACCTTGGCGCCAGGGACGACGGTGGAGCGACCTGGAGGCTGCGGGATGAGACCCGGATTCCAACGTCCGCGGGCGTAGGCATAGACGAAGTTGGCCCAGTCGTACGCACCCGGGTCGACGTCTTGCAACGATTCGTCTTGTTCTGGAGCTGATGCGTCCTTGCCGATCGGCCTGGCGGATGCGCGCGCGGCGTCGCCGTTGGCGTGCGCAGACGCTGCGAAGGAAGGCGAGGATGCATCTTGTTGGAAGGGATGAGAGAACTCTGGACGTTGTCGGCTGGCCAGCGACGGTTGGTGCGCATCCGACATGGCGTCCAAGTCCGCGTCGTCCGAGGTGAGGCCGGCCTTTTGCGGTAGCGACGGAAGGTAGCTCAGTGTGCCGGGCGCGGCGACGCCGGGCTGAGTGCGCAGCTTGTGCCATGCCGGATGGTCGACGACGCTGAGCTCGTGCGGATTTTCGCGGTAGGTGTCTTCGATGTCACTGGCGATGCTGGCGGCGCTGGCGGCGCTGGGAGAGCGCCGGTCGAAGGCAGGAGAAGCTGTGGTTCGGATGACGTCGTCGGATGTGTGCATGCGCGATGGTGGTGGTGCGGATGTGTCGTCGGCGTCGTGTTCGGACGAGGTGGAGGAGGCGTACCTCTCGCCACGGTAGCCATGGGTGAAGCTGCGAGAGGCTGAAGCCGAGGAGGCGGCGCCCATGACCCTCCAGGCGCCTCTGCGGACGGCACCGGAAGACGAGATGGAGGAGCGTGGGGACGAGAGCGCGCTTTTGATCTGCACCTTGGCGACGGACAGGGCATCGTTGGAGCCGACGCTGCTGGCATCGTCGAAATCCGAGGCAGGCACCCTCATCTTGGGCGGCTTGATTGGAGGCGATGCGGAGGACGAAGGAGTGGCTGTGAGTTGGCCAGCGAGGCCCGAGTCGGCCGACGAGGTATGTGCTGATTGGGACGAGGAGGAGCCGGAAGAGACGTGCACGGTGGCGTCTGTTCCGGACGTGGGGTGGGAGCCAGAGCGCGCGGCTATGGCGGTGGGTCGGGTTGGACTGAGTTCCATGGTGGGGCGAGCCTGCTAGGCCGCGGAGGCCGCGTATGCTGCGGTACTCACGGCTTCGAGCGGCTGGTAGGCGTAAGAGTCGGGCAGTGGAAGACCGCGGATGCAGAAGCGCGAATTGGTCACGAGGCCGTTGGTTGATAGGATCAGAGCAGCCGAGCCATGGGATCCGAGATTATAGAAGCCGCGAGAATGATTGCTGAGAACGATTGCTGAGAGCCGAGCCAGAGGATCAGAGTGACACGGGGCTGGCTAGATCGGATTGGATGCCGTCAAACGCAACGTGTGTATCGATGAGGCGACTCGTTGTGCCGAGTGCAAGAGTCAAGCGGGGCTGGTAGTCGGAGCGGGTTCTGCGTGTGTAGGAACCTTGGCAACTTCTATGTCGGCCCATGCGTATCGGGCGGATGCCGGTGACGCTGAGGATGGCGACGTGCGTGTCGGGACCGCAATGCGCGAGTCGAGTACGAGCCAGCTAAGACTGGATGGTGTCGAGGCGAGTCGGAGAACGGACTCAAGGTGTGTGTGCCAGATAGCAGCGTATGTGGTGCTACTTGCAGGTGTGCAGCGAAGCCGAAGCGCGAGTCGAAATGCCAGTTGAGAATGGCAATGCGATGGCAGTGCGATGACAGTGCGACGACAGGTAGATTTGGCGTGCAAGCAAGGCGAAGGAGGTCGAGGTGAGGTTGAGATGAGGAGGCGGAAAGGTGGGAGGAGGTGAGGAGACGTCAAGTGGAGCGGAGCGAGCAGACCGGCTCGAATGACGGAACAGCAGCACAGCAGTCGAGCGCGGGAGGGCCGAGGAAGAGTGGCGTGCGAGAGTGCCAAAGAGTGCGTCGGGGGAAGCACGAGAGACTGGATCCAGAGTGCAGCAGGAACTTGCAGTAGCCAGGCAGGCCTTTTCCAAAAATGACCACCGAACGCTGTGACCGAAAGGAGCCAGAGGTGATGCGGCCAAGAGGAGGTGAGGTGCATTCGGCTGCGCAGTGCCAAAGTGGGCCATCCGCCTAACTTGATGCCCTCACCATCCATCCCGCTCGTGCGTCTGCTTGTGCGCTCACTCAATCGCTCGCGCGCTCGCTGCGCCGCTGCTGCTCCACTTGGAGTGTCGCCTGCAGCGGGGATCGGACCCGGGAGCGTCAATTTGGGCGCAAATTCAGCGCGTCGACTTGCGGTGCGTGCAGATACAGCTGCAGCTGCAGCTGGTCGCAGCTGCAGCTGGTCGCAGCTGCTTGCGGACAAAAAAGCGGCTCGAGAGGAGCCATGAATTTGGAGCTGCAGCGGGGTCCAACGCCCGGCTCGGCCCTGCGCATCGAAAAGTGCAGCGCTGTGACCAAAATAAGTTTACAGTAACGTCGACGCACCCGCCAGCCAGCCACTCGTTCATTTCATGATTGCCCTCTTCTTCTTTCTTTTCGGCACCGTCGTGGCTGCTCGGCGCCCATGAGGCTGCTGTCCTCCCAGATATCTCCAACAATACACTCCGAGACGAACAACGAAAGCGCATCGAGGGGTGGGTTGGCAAGCAGGGCGAGATCGGCGCGGAAAAATGGCCCATGGAAAAATGAGATGGAAAGTCCGCTCTGTCGTCCCCCACTTTTTGGTCATTGTTTCGGTCTCGGTCAAGCCAGGAGAGCACCTGCAGCAGCCCGGTAACAATGGCGAGCAGGGTCGGAAGCGCCAACTATTTTTGATGCCGGCCTTGCCTGGATCTCATGTAATTGGCACTCGAATTGCAGCAGCCCGCCAGTTGCAATCGCTCGAGCCTCGTTTGCACGCACGGTCGGCATCCACTCGGCATGGCCAGCTTTGCGTTGGTGGCTGGGCTCGTGGGCTGGCCGGTCTATTGTTGCCTGAATGAATTGGCTGCAGCTCCTCGCTGTGATTGTCTGCCGATGGTCGCTTTGTCGTGACTGCGTGTGCGGAGCTTGAGCGTCGACTCGAGCCTCCTGCAAAGCGGGCGACTGCGACATCGGAAACTCCGAAGACATGTGCTGCGCTCTATCGTCCCGAGCAGGTGCAACAAAGCCAAGGCCCAGGCCGCCATCGTACATACAGAGTAGTGGCAGCTCGTGATGGCAGCTCGAGCCAGCACTTTCTACGATGTGGCCCCTCCGCCTTTGAGAGGCCGAAAGTCAGGGCCCAGACCAGAAATGCGCTGCCAGCCACGACTCTGACCCACAGAAAAAGGGCCAAAGTCTGGAGCGCAGGTGTTGACCCTCGACCTCGCCATCGAGCTGCGCTGTCCGCCTCACCCCGGAAGCTCCGATCGATGTGTCATAGCCGCACTGTCAATGCTTTGTATGCGCGAGTCGGTACGAACAAGCTTCACAAAGCTTGTCGCCAGGCTGAGAGCTAGGTTAGAGCCAACCTCGTCTGCGCAACGTCGGAGATTAGCCCCCGAGCCCCGAGCTCGAAACTGTTAAATTCTGCTCGCCCTTACCCGGACGCTCAAACTTTTCTGCTCCGTCTACGCACTTTTGGTGATGCTTCGCGTCGGGCTGCGAGAGGTGACATCATGACGTCACGCGGCGCTGCTGTGGACGATGCTCGACAGACGTTTTGTCCTCCACATGCACTCAGCCACCCCTCCTCGGCCAAGCATCGCCATGCCAGAGCAAGGACGAGGGCGAGGGCGAGGCGAGCGGGTTAGTGCAGGAACGGTGATCGTCCGACGAGCTCTAATGTTGCCGTCTGTTGTGTCGTGAAGCCGCCCAACGCGAGCTCGACTGCCATTCGGCCGTCTTTCTGGCCCTGGACAGCCTCCGAAGGAGTCCAAAGCCAAAGTGAGCGCGACGTTGTCGGTGTCGGTGTGTGTCCGACTCGAATGTGCCCGGCCGGGCGTGCAGTTGAACCTCGGGCGGATCCAGACCGAGCAGCCTTTTTCGCTTTCGTTTCTCGCTGCGTTTGGTCGAGCTGAAAGTGCGATGCGAGCCTGATGAGGAGCCAAGGTGACCAGTATCGCTCAAACCCGATTGCCTGGCAGCGAAGGGGCGGAATCGAGGGTCCCGCCTCGTCAAAATCCTCCGAGCGAGCAAATCGGCTCTGAGCCGAACCGCTCGGCCAACTCTGCCACGCGTTCACAGTCTTGGCTGAGCAACGCAGGGCTAGCCAAAGCCGCAGCAGCGTCGCCGCTCGATCTTCTTTTTCGGTGGCTTCCCCCTTCCGATTCTGCGGCTTAACATTCTGGAACCGACATCCCGGGGGGGCGCGGTCCCTTTCGAGTGTTTGTATGCAGCTGCAGGTGGCGTCACGATCCTCGCGCCTCGGCTTCCGCGCGATGACCGTTTTTCCTGAACCCTGACATGCCAGCGCCGCTCCAACACAGACACACTCGCGTTTCGCTCGGCAGCTTTTTCGCCGCCGTGCGGATTTGCAACTCCGGGCAGAGCACCCGCTTCTGCACTCTGCTGCCGACGTCAGTAGTCACGGATCCTGATTCCAGCCGAATCCAGCACGTTGCCGCAACTCTCACGCGCTCCCTCTCGTAACTCACGCTCGCTCAGTCGCGCGCAGCATTCAATACCTGCCTACTGGCCTCGCTCCGTTCGTTACCTTGCTTCTTCTCCGTCAACACGACCAACTCGACCCTCGGTACACGCGTCCGAGTCGCATCAGACACACCGCTCGTCGCGAGGAACCGCAGCGCCGTCGCAGCATCTCCCCGATCGACCGTACGCAGCTCAGCTCTGGAGATGGAGACATACCTCCTCTGACGTTTTAAGCAATCGCCTCCGGCTCGGCCCTTGTGACAGCTCCTACGCTTCGGCCCCTCAATTTGCACACGAGTGTCGCTCGCATCCGTAGCGCCGTCTGCGTCTAGCCAGCCGACATGGAGCGCACATGGTCCACCGACTCGGTGGCCTCCATACCCGAAAAGTCGCTGCCTGACCCTGCTCGTCTGCGCAAGGCCGCTCGCAGGCTCTCCAACCAGGCTCCCGTCGACGGTGCAAGGGAATGGCGCAAGTCCAAGCTGCACTCGACCCATCTCATCACCGCCGCCTCCTCCTCCAACGGCCACGCCAACTCCTCCAACTACGACTCGCAAAACGCCAAGGCCGGCCCATCGTCCCGCCGGCTGAGCTCCAGCGCCGCTGCATCCGCATCCGCAGCCTCTCAACCGCCGCACGCCACCGGCATCCGCAGGCGCAACATCCTCGACTCGGCCGCCGCATCGGCCAAGTCCAGGAACGCTCAGTTCGACGCGAGGCTCAAGCGTCACTCCTTGGCCACTAGCTCGGCAGCTTCCTCACCCTACCCTCCATCCTCCCCTGGCTCCTATATCGAATCCTGGCCCTCCGCCTCCGACGACTTTTCCGGCTCGTCAACAGATCGCCCCACTCGCCGTCGTCGCTCCACCACCGTAGAGTCCAGAGAGGCTTACTCCGCCGATCCTTCCGCCGACGGCGCTGGCGGATATTCTTCCAGCTCCGACCAACACTCCTCCAGCTCCGAGTACGAGCCATTCGACTGGGACGTCGGCCGAAAGCGAAGAAGCTCCGAGCGTCCACGCTCCGTCGCTCCAGACCACTTCTTGGTCGCCAATCCGTCCGCGCCCAGACGCGTTCCAGCTTCCTCGTCGCCACCACCGCTCGGCGCTTCTGGTTCGCTTCCAGACTCGCGTCTCTCTTCTCGATCTGCCAGGTTCTCCGCTTCCGGTCGAAGAGCGTCACCAAAGAAGCACGCTCAGCCGCTTCCTCCCGATGCATCCTCCTACGCAGATGAGCACGGCCGATCGACAGTGCGGCCCAGCCGACAATCCATTCTCAGCCGCGCCATCGGAGCAGCCACCTACCTCAGCTCCTCCACAAAGGCCGGATCCTCCACGCCTTCCAGCCCCGTCTTGGCCTCGCACCCCCTCCCAAAGTCCAAGAGCGCAGCCGCTACTCTAGCCGCCACATCGAGACACACAGCGGGCGGCGAGCTGTCTGTGAAGCCACGTGCCGAAGGGGGACGCTCTTCCCCTTCTTCCAACACAGCCGTCGCAAGCGCACAGCACCAGACCCAGTCCGCATCCACGGGAACTAGGTCGCAGACTCACTGGCAACGACTCCGCGTCAACCCCTCCATCGAGGCCCTGCTCATGACTCTCGCTTCATGCGCAGCCTACTACCTTCTCAAGACACACGCCAAGCTCGAGACGCAGAGCCACGCCTCGGAGGTCGGTTTCGTGACCATCATCAGTGCACTCTACTTCTTCCTGCGCGACCCGGACGAGCAAGCGGCTATCTGGGCCACCGATCATCGCAACTATCGATCCTGCCCAGAGGATGGCGCCCTCAATGCGCTCCTCTTGCCTCCGCTGCTCGCATGCGCGACTCTCTTTTCGGCCTTCCAGGACCAGGCTGCAGGCCGCAGCAGCCCACGGGCTTCGGGAGAAGCGCTGCCCAATCCGCCCTGGCTAATCGAAGGTCCGCCCGCCATCCTCAGCCACAACCGCAAACTCGCCGGCGGCATGACCACGCTGGTCGTCTCGCGCTACTCGCTGGTCAGTACCATGTGCCTCACATCGACCGTGCTGCTCTGCCACCTGCTCGCAACCAAGTGGATTCGCAGGCCGCATCAGTTCCCCAAGAGCAACTGGGCCAAGCTGCGCAGCTTCACCGCCTTTGCTACCGTGGTCGCAGTCGCGCTCGAGGCGGTCAAGGATGCTGCCGCCTTCTATGGCTTCCCGCTCTGGTCCAATCTGGCCCGCTGGGAGGTCATCACCGCCGCGCTCTTCTTCCAGGCCAACCTGTACACCATCTCGCGTCTGGCGCGCAAGAGCTTCACTCTCGGCGAGCTCGGCATCGTAGCGTCGACCGGTGTCACGCTCACAATGGAGACGCTCCATCTGTTCGTGGCAAAGTTGCTCCCCGTCACCACGCCGTACGTCAAGACGTTCCGACGCCCTACGCCGCTGCTCATCTTCCAGCTCGCGCTGATCGTGGGTACGTTCATGGTCGGCTTTCTGCTCTCGCCGCTGCTGTACTTGTCACGCAACCTGGCGCAGAAGCCCACGCATCGACTGCGATGGCCCGACAAGCGCGACCTGCATAGGCGACTGCTCGCAGCCTTCTTCTATCTGTTCGCCACCATCTATGTGGTGGGCGTGCTGGGTATGTGGGTGCGCTGGCTGCTCGTCAAGCGCGATCCGTGGTTGTGGGCCTTGTCATTTATGCTCAAGGGCGCCAGGCCATGGTCGCGGCCCGTGCTCGTGACCTACTGGGTGCTGTTGATCTCCATCTCCATCTCGTGTTGGCAGGCCGTGGTCGCGAACGCGAAGCGGTTCAGGGGGCTCGCCAATTCGTACCAGAGGCCCTTGCTCGGTCCCAAGCCCGCTGGAGGAATCGCAGCTACGAGCAATCAGGCGTACTTGCAGCAGCAACAACATCAGCAGCAACAGCACGAGCAGCAGCAGACAAGCCAGACTTCGCCGCCCGCTGTGGTTCTCTCCGTGGCTCCCAGCTCCCACGCACCCGGCGGCGTCGAGGTGAAGACCGAAGGTGTCGCTGCTGCTTCGGCACCCGAAGCACCCAACAGCTCTGGACAGCGTGCATCTCCAGCGACCACGGGCGCAGCCAACGGCAGCCTGAACGGACTCGGGATCGAGACGACAGCGCAAGCAAAGCGCGGGGTCGGTGTGAACCTCAAGCTGTCGAACTTAAGCGGCAGTGCGTCGCTGCTGGCCAAGGAGCACAACTCGGCGGCGATCAAGAAGGCGTCGTACCTGTCTCTCAACGCGCGGCGCAAGTTCTTCCATGCGCTGGCGCTGCTGCTGTTTGTGCCGGGCATCGCGCTGGATCCGGCGTTCACGCATCTGGGCTTCTCGCTGGCATTCTCGATATTCATCTTTGCCGAGTACGTGCGCTACTATGCGCTGTATCCGTTCGGCGCGGCGCTGCACGTGTTCATGTCGGAGTTCCTCGACCACAAGGACTCGGGCCCCGTGATCCTCTCTCACTTTTACCTGCTCACCGGGTGTGCTGGGCCGCTGTGGCTCGAGGGTAATTCGCGCATCCTGCAGCAGACCGGTGTGCTGGTGCTGGGTGTGGGTGATGCGTTGGCTTCCGTCGTCGGCAGGAGGTACGGCAGAGTGTACTGGCCGGGTGGGTCGAGCAAGACCGTAGAGGGAAGCTTGGCGTTTGTAGGCAGCATCATGGTGGCTGCCTGGGCGCTCAGGCTCGTCGGATGGGTCGAGGACTTCAGCTCGCTCAAGTACGGCGCTGTCGTCACGGCGCTGGGCTTGCTGGAGGGGGTCAGTGACCAGCACGATAACTTGGTCCTGCCCATCTTTGGGTACATTGTAGCGTCGTTGATTGGGCTGTAGTTGGAGTCGGAGGGTGCGGAAATGCAAATCGTGTCTGACCAAGAGCTCCGTGGCGATGCGGAGATGTGTGCGGGTAGAGCGAAGCTCGAGTGCGGAAGCGGGTGCGGGTGAGGATAAGCTCGGAGGTCCGGCTGTGGACGGTCTCGGGCTGGAGCGACTGCGGGATATAGCAGAGGTGCGGGAACAGATGCGGAAGTGGTGGTGTATATATGCTGCTCTCTGTCAGCGTTCTCCCTTGTCGATCCATCCACCACCGCCACACGAGGATCTTTGAGTACTTGAGGACATTGAACCATGGACTACATTCGTCAACTTACGGGTGGTGCCAAGCTGAAGCCCGACAGCTCGCGAGGCGAGTCTCCCATCTCGGACATTGTCGAGACGGCCGAAGAGGCTCAGTTCAACATCGACTCGGCCATCCAGGCGGTGCTTCACGCAGCTGAGGTGGCTCGACACGAGATTGGCGACGACACCGATGTCGACGCCATGGAGACGAAGGACACTACGCCCAGCCTTGTCGGCGACGCTATTCAGGTCGATGCTCAGCAGGTGCGAATCGAGCAAGACCAGACTCAGGCTTGCGATGCGGTCCAGCGCAGTATGACCGAGGAGCAGGCTGCTCAGGCGCTGCACGCTCTGTACGATGCTACGCAGCACGATGCCCAAGTCGAGACTCAGCCCAGCCCTGCGGGTCAGATTCACTTCGCCGATCAGGCCATCCCTACGGGTAACGTTCGCACTGCTGAAGCGATGGACGAATCCATGCCGCTGTTCAACCCGCCCGAGCCTGTGGACGTCAAGCCAGCCCAGCTTCATAGTAGCGACGAGCCCAGCATCGCCCTCAACATCCGCGACGCCAACGGATACAGCACCATCTTCCGCTGCAAACCCTCGAGTAAGTCCCCTCCCCATCACTCCCTTTGACCGCAGGTACTGACTCGTATTGTGGATGGTAGCCAAGCTGTCCAAGGTGTTCAAGGTGTTCGCCAAGCGCTACCAGACCGACCTGTCCAAGATCCGATTCATCTCGTCCGACGGAAGGCTGCTGCCCAAGTGCAACCCCAACCTCACCGTCCAGAGTAAGTCCGCATCAAACGCTATGCCGTAGTCAGGGATGTGCTGACACCGACGCTTCTACAGGCGAGGGATTCGAGGACGGCGATGAGATCGAGTAAGTACACCACGCCCGCAACATGCCAGGAACAAAAGACTGACGCTCGGAGGGTGATCAGTGTGATGCTCGAGCAGATCGGAGGCTATCACGTCGAAGGCATCTAACCAACAGGCAAGATCACCGACCTATCCGAGACTCAAAAGCGACGCTCGGCTTCGCAGCATCGGGACACATCCTTCGAGACGAGTAGGGGCGCACGAGCAGACAAAATGCGACAGGCATTCGACTTGCGACACAGGGCTTGCGGCGCGTCGTCACGCAAGGGCGAGAAAAACGAATGATTAGGCGGTGTACTAAACGTCTCGCAATGGTGGTGCACAAGGTCATCGTGCGCGGATCAGAACTGGGCCGAGATGAAGAGGCGGAAGTCTTTCGACACATCCGCAGGCGGAGGATCTTTGCGACCTTGACCAGCGTCACTTCGACCTTTCGGATTGGGACTCGGTCCCCCGGTGCCCGGGACAGGGAGAGGCGGCCATCCACGGCGCAGTGAAGCAGCTGCACACAGCGCAATGCACCAAATTCGAGCGTCAGTATGCGTGCTCTGAAAGGTCTAGTCTGGTGTGAGACGTACCGGAATTAGGAGGTTGTCCTGGTGTTACTGGCTCTTCGGTGAGGTCCTCGATGATGGATCTCTTGACAGGCTGCGACACCGCGTCCGAGCCAGACCTGGCAGGAATAGCTGCGGCACTGACCATGCCGACCAGGACGAGTAGCAACAGAGCCGAGACCATGCTCAGGCCAACACTTGGGCAAGACGTAGAGACACGCATGATGTTTAGCGACAGAGTCCAGCTCGGTTGATCATTGTGACCTGCTGCGCCTATTTCGAGGCATATATAGGACTCTCGTCGAGACGGCTGTGGTTGTCTTTACGATGCTACGCATCTCGGCGACCCACTCTCTAGCATTGGTGCCCACCCACCAGATGAAGCGGGAGGGGCGTTGACACGCAGCCCCGTTGCAGCCACCGACACACGAGCCATGACCGGCAAGGTGCAGGCACAATTATGGCATGCCCTACACGCACAGTGCGCCAATGGTTCCCGACATACCGAGCGAGTTGCCGGTGGATGAAGGAGGCGTTTTCGTGGGTCTGCACATTCTTCTCTCCCATTCGACACGGTCTCGTCACTTCATACCGGCTTGGGCTCGACCCACTCACATCCGCCATTCAGCCACAACGTCACAATCGCCAAGCGGAAACACCCACTCAACAAGCCGAGCCAAAAGATGAAAGCCTGAAGCCAACGACGATCGAGTGTGGCTTCCATGAAGCGTGTAACACCGCCGTCGAGTCGACATTACTTAAGAGCGGACGGATCACGAGCCGGACGTTGAGATGGCTTCGGCTTTTCGAACTCGCCGAAGAGTCAGGCCTGTATGAGTCTAGCCCCCAAGCAGGCATACGCGCTGTGATGAAACGATCAAAGCCAGGCCGAGTGCAAATGAACCGAGATGGGGTCCGATGAAGTTTTTGCGATTGATACAATACAGGATGGCTTTGCTGCCGAGTGTGCGGGCGCTTTGTGCGCGAAGACCGTTTTGATGCGAGAATCAGTGGAGAGCGGATGAGGATTCCGATGCCGATGTATGGGAGGGTACGAGGGTATCTGTCGGCGAGGCTGGTGCGGAAGCGGGCTTTTAAGACGATCATGCGGTGTTCCTGAGGACAAGGACGACCGAGTCGCCGCGGAGGAACATCTTGGAGATGAAGCGATCCTTGTTGACGGGCTTCTTTCCCTTGCCCTTGGGCACTTCTGTCCACATCTCCTTCACGTTTTCGAGCACCATGTTCGAGTGGCGGTCGAACGCCTTGACGCGCGCGAGGAGCTTCTTGTTGTTGCGGAGCGCGATGAGGATCTGCGTATGATTGCGCACCGACTGCTGAAGAACGGAGAGGGGTCCTTGCGAGATCTCGTACTGCTCCAGCTCGCGGATCTGCGACTGGTCGAGCTCCGACTTGGGCACGTTGACGTATTGGCTGTGCGTGGGTGCAAATTGGTCGGGACAAGGGGAGAAGAAAGATGGGTGAGAAGGCGAGCAGCGATGCGATGCGATGCTGCGGATACTGAGACTTACCTCATTGTGTAAAAATGGCGATGATGGTGACCAGCAACGATGTGATGGTCGAGACAGAGGCAGCGGATGTGACTTTTGGCAGAGTTGGAAGCGGCAGCGCCGAAATTCGGCTCCGACCTCTGCATCGACCTATCGGCAGATCCGAGCGCAGCACGGCTGACTCGAAAATGGGCGACGCCAAGTCCAAATCAATGATCTAGAGTATACCTGTCTGACACTTTAAAAAGGTCTCAATCAATAAATCAGCCTCCTATCGAGTGCAAGGTCTGAAGCCGCCTTTTCTTCGCCGCGAAAAAGTTGGCTCGGCTACCCCACCGCCTTCCCTCCTTCCTCCACCATACCGAAAGCGCTTTGACTGCATCCTAACCAGTCATGGCTTCTCCTACGCTCAAGCTCGACCCTCAGGCGAAGGTCGCGCCTCTTGCGCCCCTCGCCCTCGCCAAGCTCGTCAGCGCCGCCGACGCTGCCCAGTCCATCACCCTCTCCTTCGAGGACGGCGTGGCTCCCACGCTACTTCTCCCCAACGCCGCCCCCGTCGAGGGCTACGTCCACATCGTCCGCGAGCTCGCCTCCTACTACGCACAGCTCGGCCTCTCCGGCGCCGACAAGGACCAGAGCGCCCAGGTCAACCTCTACATCGGCCAGGGCGACAACCTTGCGCTCGCCAACTTCCAGACCGCTACCGCCATCGCCGACGACCTCGACCAGCACCTTGCCCTGCGCACCTTCCTCGTCGGCCACTCCATCACCGCCGCCGATGTCGCCATCTGGGCCGCCGTCCGCACGAGCTCGCCCGTGATCGGCCTCGTCAAGAAGGGCCTCCACAACCACCTCCAGCGATGGTTCAACCACATCGACTCGCTCGCGCCCGTCTCGGATGCGCTCGTCCAGCTCGCCGACGCAAAGGCAGAGAAGTTCAAGAACAAGAAGACCGCCGCCGGCTTCGACCTCTTCCTCAAGGACGCGCAGCAGGGCCAGGTCGTCACGCGCTTCCCGCCCGAGCCCTCAGGCTACCTCCACGTCGGCCACGCCAAGGCCGCCATCCTCAACCAGTACTTTGCGCGCCAGTACAACGGCAAGCTCATCATCCGCTTCGACGACACCAACCCCAGCAAGGAGAAGGAGGAGTTCGAACAGTCCATCATCGAGGACCTCGCGCTCCTCGGCATCAAGGGCGACGTCACCACCCACACCTCGGACCACTTTGACACGCTCTACAAGTACGCCATCCAGATGATCCAGCTCGGCAAGGCGTACGCCGACGACACCCCGCAGGAGCAGATGCGCGCAGAGCGCATGGACGGCATCCCCTCCAAGCGTCGCGACGCCTCGATCGAGGAAAACATGACGCGCTTCGCAGAGATGTCCACCGGCTCCGCCGACGGCCGCAAGTGGTGCCTGCGCGCCAAGCTCTCGTTCGACGACCCCAACAAGGCGATGCGCGATCCCGTCATCTACAGGTGCAACCCCGACGTCTCGCACCACCGCACCGGCACTACCTGGAAGGTGTATCCGACGTACGACTTTGCTTGCCCCATCGTCGACTCGATCGAGGGCGTGACGCACGCGCTGCGTACCAACGAGTACCGCGACCGCAACCCGCAGTACCAGTGGATGCTCGATGCGCTCAGCCTGCGCAAGGTCGACATCTGGGACTTTGGCCGTCTCAACTTTGTCTACACGCTGCTCAGCAAGCGCAAGCTGCAGTGGTTCGTCGACAACGGCATCGTCGGCGGCTGGGACGACCCGCGCTTCCCCACCGTGCGCGGCATCCGCAGGCGCGGCATGACCATCGAGACCATCCAGGAGTTCATCCTCGCCCAGGGCCCCTCGCAGCAGATCATCAACATGGAGTGGGACAACATCTGGACGATCAACAAGCGACACATCGACCCCGTCGTGCCGCGCTACGTGGCGCTCGACAAGGAGGGTGTGGTCAAGGTGAGCGTCAAGGGCGCACCCAAGCGTCACTCCAAGGAGATGCCCAGGCACAAGAAAAACGCCGACCTCGGCAACAAGGTCACCGTGTTTGACGAGGTGGTGTACGTCGAGCAGACGGATGCACGCTCGTTTGCACAGGGCGAGGAGGTGACGTTCATGGACTGGGGCAACGTCATCATCGACTCGAAGCAGACCGATGCGGCTGGCAACGTGCTCTCCATCGAGGCCACGGCCAACCTGGACGGCGACTTCAAGAAGACCAAGAAGAAGGTGACGTGGCTGGCGCCCAGTGCGTCGGACGCCTCTCTGGTCGAGGTGAACCTGCTCGACTTTGACTACCTCATCACCAAGAAGAAGCTCGAGGAGGAGGACAACTTTGCCGACTTTGTCACGCCCACCTCCGAGTTCCACAGCGTCGCACTTGCCGACCACAACGTGGCTGCGCTTCAGCAGGGTGCAGCCGTGCAGTTCGAGCGCAAGGGGTACTACATTCTCGACAAGCTTGCCGGCAAGGACGGCCGGGCCGATTTCATCAAGATCCCCGATGGTAAGGCTGCCACTTCGGCATCCAAGGTGGCGCCCGATGTCGACACCGAGGCCAAGAAGGCTGCAGCTGCCAAGGCGAGGGCGGAGAAGGCGGCTGCCAAGGCCAAGAAGGAGCAGGAAAAGGCGGAGAAGAAGGCCAAAAAGGCGTTTGAGAAGGGCGATGGTGTAGGCGTGGTGGCTGGTAAGGTAAAGGCAGGTGTGGCTGCAGCTACCGCCGGCCTTGCAGGCGCTATTGCAGCGAGAAACGCAACCCAGGACACCGATGACACCGCCAGCAAACACTTCCCTGAGATCATCGACTCCGGCAAGGGCAAGATCAACATGTACGACGCGCCCGTCATCACAACAAACATCCCCACGCCCGTGACCACCAAAATGTACTCGATGAACAAGATCCTCTAAACCCGCTTCCCCACAATTCCCCTGTTCGATACGACATCATCTTGTCATGTTTTTCTCACTTGGTAGCACTCGAAAATCCAGCGTGTGTTTGCAACGAGTTCAGATTGAATGTGTGCAGCTAGGCTCAAAAGATGTTCATGTCCTCAAAGTCGTCGTCGTCGTCTTCGGCGGCAGCTGCGAGCGCCGCACGTGCATCGAGGTCGTCGGGGTCCACATCGACGGCTTCGGTGGTGCGGCGCTGGCGCGCGATGCGATCCGCGTACTGCGTGCGCTTGACCTGCAGCAGTGTATCGCCTCCATCCACGCGCTCGAGTGCGGGCGGCTTGTCCGTCTCGGCCTGCTGGGCAAGAATCTCGCGTGCACGCTGGCGACGCTCGTGCTCGAGCCGCGTCCACTTGCGAATGACGCGCTCGCGCTCCTCGATGGCGCGCTTGCGCCGCTGCTCCACCTCGGGCATCATGGTCACCACAAACAGCACCACCGGCATCACCCAGCTCGATGACACCACGCGCCTCACCCACCCGTCCGCGTGCGGCGTGTCTGGAGGCGCGGAAGATCCCGCAGGCCCACCGCGCGTCGGCGCGGGCGGCGGCAACAAGCCGA